GGAACAAGATTCAACGATAGCCTTCACTGCGTACAATTTATGTACGCAAAAACGTCATCTTCTTACCGTGCTGGCCAAACGCAACATGTGCAGGTGTGGTTGCGGTGGAAATTGCACGATTCTTCCAGTGATGGAGTTCCTGAAGCATTCCTTTGCAGCAGCTTCCCAAGGATGCCGCCCTCGTTTGCAATTCAATGGGGACCCGTGGCCTGACAAAGAGAAAGGTTGCGGTTTGCTCGCAGAACGGTCACCGATGTTGTTGAATCGGTATATCCTGTGCCAAATACAAGGGGACTGGATGGAGTTCACTGGAACCCCTGGTTTTAGCAGTTGGGCGTGCGTTTACAGGCCATGCGTTTTTTTGCAAATGTTCGAAATCGACGATGTATGACTTTAGCAACATCACGCTAGATGGGCATCAGTGGGGAGAAGCGGGTGATGACTACGAGGGTGATTGTTCTAAATGCGATATCAAGGTTCAAGTAAACACATAAGACGATAGAAACATGATACTCGTCGACGGGGGGTTGAGGTTCGTTGATCAGAAAGGCAGAATATTAACAGCACCGATTGCTAAATTTGGTTTGAAAAAAACACGACATATTAGATCAATCGGAAGGCCTGTTGGATGTTGGCATGCTGGAGGACGCACCTCTTCCGTTAGAGATTACGTTCTGGCGGACCAGGAGAGATGCAAACAAGAGATTACTTGATCCAGTTACCAGGCGGTGCCCTTTGTTTGGGCCCCTTCTGGGCATATCGCCCTCCTCTGCGCTCATGATCGACATCCTACACACTCTCTACTTAGGCGTATTCCAGAGGTTCGTTTGCTCGGTATTGTGGCATTGCATAGACAACAATGTTTTTGACATTCCAGGGGGTGATGCAACATCAAAGACAGAAGTAACTGTAACCCGATTGTGGAGCGATTTGCAACAATGGTACGATGCCAACGCAATAGAGCCGAACAAACGCTTGAATACATTGACGTCCAAAATGTTGGGGAGCTCTGGGAAACGAGAACTCAACGCAAAAGCAGCTGACACGGGTGTACTGCTAGGGTGGGCCACGTCCCTTGCAGACAAATTCAAAGCCAGAATGGAGCACGGGCAAACATTTCTGGACGCTGGCACGTGTTTGGTAACTTTCAAATGCATCCTCAAAGAAAGCCCCGTCGTTGTCCCTCGGCCAGTTTGTCAGCAGCTATTGGATTTGAGTATGCATCACTGCAACCTTATGAAAGCGGCAGGTGTTAAAGGGCATCCAAAGCGGCACCTGCTCGTACACGTCGTGCTTCGCATCATGAAGCCAACCCCCTAATTGTCTCCAGGTCGATCTTTCGAATCGGAATTATCGCAATCACCCGATCGAGGCGATCCCGTCCAATCGCATGATCTGTCGTTCGGATCGATGCCCGATCGATCGATCGGCCCGATCACGACCACTGAGGTGCGGCAACCCGAGATCATACAGCACATTTTTAGACGAATCCTTGAATCACTCACTATTTCAAATTGCAGGGAAATGCAACACTGGCAAAGCCAAGTGGGAGCATCACATTTTTCAGAGGGTTCACCTGCTGCCAAAGGTGCCCCCCCATTTGGATTTCGCGCCCTTGTGGCCGATTCGTTGCCAATGGACCCTGTGAATGTGCGTAGAATAACGTCTTATTTCAATCGCCATCATCAATTTCGGTGATCGCCCCCCCCCCCGCCTGGAAATTCAGAGCAGGCCTTAATCGTGGCGAAGTCCAGGGAACCGATCCTGAAAACCGAGGGGGCATTATACGATTGGCCACCCTGCCTCTTAAGGATTGCTGTTTCGGTGCAAGCTGGCTTCCCATTGCTTGCGATGAGGTCGTACCACACCACGCCGCGACCCATGGCGGAGTTTCGAGGCTCGGTTCCGAGAGCGGCGCCGACTGAGGACCCAAGATCTCAAACTGACCCTCCGCTGATTACTCGAAGGGTCCGCTCTCCCCCCCCCGCCTCCTCATATGGGCCCCTGGCTCCACCCTGCCTGACTCCTAAATACCCCTGGTGGCATTTTTGATGAGCTCCTCCTCCTCCTCCTCCTCCTCCTCCTCCTCCTCCTCGTCCTCCTCCTCCCCCTCCTCCTCCTCCTCCTCCTCCTACTCCCTCCTACTTCGGATCCTCCTCACCCTTCCTCCTCCTCCTCCTCCTCCTCCTCCTCCCCCCCCCCCCTCCTCCCCTCCTCCTCCTCCTCCTCCTCCTCCTCCTCCCCCCCTCCCGCCTCCTCCTCCTCCTCCCCTCCCTCCCTTCCTCCTCCCCCCTCCTCCTCCTACTCCTTCTCCTCCTCCCTCCTCCCCTCCCTCCCTCCCCCCCTCCCTCCCTCCCTTCATCCTCCTTTTTTTTCGTGATGGATTCAAGGCCGGTTGTCCAGCCGGGGAGACCCAGCTGCCAGAGCAGCCAGGGCTGCAGCTGGAGGACGACTGGAAGGACACGTCTGCTGAACACATCATAATGTTAAATCCTTCCCC